TGTGCAAATGTATCTCCTGTTATGAACCATCATGAAGTTTAAGATCATCAGGAGAGGCCCTGCTCTCGATCCCAGCACCACTGCAAATGCGATTGGTGGTGACGAGAGACAGGGCCTTCTCGGCAGTGGCCCCCATCTGTGAAACTCTCTCCCCAGGGACATCGGACTAGCCACCTCCCTCCTGTCTTTTAGAAGAAAACTGAAGACTTGGCTTTGGGACCAGGCATTCGACTAGTGAATAGTGGCAAGTGGAAAGAAGACTTAGGAACCCATGAAACTGAATTAACCCAGACTTGGATTTGGTTTTTAACTGGCGTGTTTAATCTATTGTTTTAATGAATTGTTTTAATGTTTTAATGTATTGTTGATTGTTTATTATGGTGATAGCATCGAACGGTGCTTGTTCTGAGGCCGCCCTGAGTCCCACCCCCTCAGGGGTGAGAAGGGCAGGGTATAAATATATTAAATAAATAAATAAATAAATAAATAAATAAATAAATAAATAAATTTGTCCTTGTTTCCTTGCTTTAGCGAGAGCCTTCCTGCTCCAAACATCTTCTTGATTCCTAACTGGAGAATCACGCTAAGAGGAAACGCCACCATTGTATGCAATGTATCTGTCTCCTCAAGGTTGAATTTTCACTTGGAAAAAGATGCACAGATCATAACCACGTCTACTGAAGGAATCAATGGAACTGCTTATTTCCCCATCACTAATATGAGCCCAGAGCAAGGTGGAGTGTACAAGTGTTGTTATAATAGTTCAAGTCTCTCCCCAGCAACATGCAGTGAGCCTCTAGAGCTTCTGATAACAGGTAAGAAACCTTTCACAGAATAATCACAGAACAGTGACTATTTCAACATCTTAGAAAATATCCTAGAATCGCTTGAATCTGGCTCTATGGTAAAGATGCTGTTTTGGTCTGCTAGAGCACAACTTCATAAACTGTGGGTCCCAACCTCAAATTGGATCCCCTTAGCTTAATATTGGGATCACAAAATTTTGACAATAGTAAAAGGTTTCTTTAACATGCAGTGTTTACAGTGGACTTTGCAGAAAATGCTTCAGCTGTACATCATAAAAAGAAAGATCACCCTGCGTAGCAAGCCTTGAAAATATTGATTTCAGTACATGTTTAATTTGTTTGCCTACTTTATATATCTATACAGTACACCTTTTTATTTATGTCATGTCAGGAGCGACTTGAGAAACTGCAAGTTCGCTTCTGGTGTGAGAGAATTGGCCGTCTGCAAGGACATTGCCCAGGGGATGCCCGGATGATTTGATGTTTTTATCATCCTTGTGGGAGGTTTCTCTCATGTCCCCGCATGAGGAGCTGGAGCTGATAGAGGGAGCTCATCCGCCTCTCCCCGGATTTGAACCTGCGACCTGTCGGTCTTCAGTCCAGCCGGCACAGGGGTTTAACCCACTGCGCCACCGGGGGCTCCTTACAGTACACCTTGGTTCATGTAAAATTACGTGGAAAAGGGTTGCAAAAAAAATTCTCAGGTGGAAAGGGGTCACAAGTGGAAAAAGTTTAAGAAGCCCTGCACTAGAGGAGAGGCAGAGTATGGGTAAGATGTGGGGAAGGTTTCCATCCACCAATGATTCCATGTTGCAGCAGTGCAGCAATAAATGTAAATGTTGCCTAAAGGTGCAAGAGAACTTAAACATGCCTAGAAATAATATATTTCAGTGGTTCTCAACCTTCCTAATACCGCGACCCTTTAATACAGTTCCTCATGTTGTGATGACCCCTAACCATAACATTATTTCTGTTGCTACTGTACTTCATAACTGTAATTATGCTTTTTATTGTTTGTATTGCTTCAATTGTGATTTTATACTGTTTTAATGTTTAATTTGTATTTTGTTGTTAAGTGTACTAACTTGTTGTAAACCGCCTTGAGTCGCCGATAAGGCTGAGAAAGGCGGTATACAAGTATACAAGTATACAAGTATATACAAGTATAAATAAATAAATAAATAAATAAATAAATAAATAATTTTGCTACTATTATGAATCATAATATAAATATCTGATATGCAGGATGTATTTTCATTCACTGGACCAAAATTGGTACAAATACCTGATATGTCCAAATTTAAATACTAGTGGGGTTTGGGGTGGTGGTGGTGGTGGTGGTTTTGTCATTTGTAGTTGCTGGGATTTATAGTTCACCTACAATCAAAGAGCATTCTATACTCCACCAATGATGGATTTGAACTAAATTTGGCACACAAAACTCCAATGACCAAGAGAAAATACTGGAAGAGTTTGGTGGGCATTGACCTTGAGTTTTGGAGTTGTAGTTCACCTACATCCAAAGAGCACTGTGGACTCTGACAATGAGGGATCTGGACCAAACTTGACATGAATACACAATATGCCCAAATGTGAACACTAGTGGAGTTTGGGGAAATAGACATTGACATTTGGGAGTTGTAGTTGCTGGGTTTTATAGTTAACCCTCAAAGAGCACTCTGAACCCAACCCACAATGGATCTGCACCAAACTTGTCACACTATCTACATGGCCAACATTGAATACTGGTGGGCTTGGGGGGAGGGCTGTTTTTGAATTCTGGAAGTTGTAGTTCACCAACACCAAAAAGGAAGAGAAGGACAGAAAGAGAGATCTTCAGCCTTCTCTGTCAAAAAGGTTCCTAATACCATAAGAAATATGTGTTTTCCGATGGCTTTCGGCGACCCCTCTGAAACCCCCTTCATGATCTCCCCAGGGGTCCTGACCCCCTGATTGAAAAACACTGACATATTTTGTCAGATGTGGGTAACTTAAACTATGTTTATTGGTCCAATGAATGCAAAGATTTTACTGTAGTAACCCTTTTGCCTTACAAAATTATAAGCTTTCTATTGATAAGTGGATCCATCTTGATCTTAGAAAAGTTCAAATATATTGTGCTCTGTTTCCATACAAACTCCACTCCTTCCAAAAAAATCCAACATATTCTGTACACATATTTCATATATATCTGCCGGATTCGGTACCAGGGCCAACCGTGGATATCAAAATTCTTGGATGTTCAATCCCATTATGTGTGATGGCATAAAATGGCAAAATCATGTCCCTTAAATAAATGGCAAAATCAAGCTTTGCTTTTTTAATTTTTTTTAATATTTTCAAGTCCCACACCCTTGGGAACCATACATTTTTGTATTGTTTTTCCCAAGGATGTGGTGTATGATGAACACATTTTTTCTGTCTTTCACATCATTCATTGTAAACTAGTAAACATATGGACTTACAGCCTCAAATTAAGCTTAGTTCAGTATTTGTGTGCAGGATGTATAACTTGCGGAGAAGTGAAAAAAAACTTGATGGAGTGAATGCATAACTCTTCCTTGCTGTGTTCCTGCTGTTCACAGACCCAGGTCTACCGAGGTCAACTATTCGTCTTATTCCTAGAAAGATTATTCACAAAGGAATCAACGTTAGTTTTCAATGCTCAGCCGCAAGCCCAGTCCGGGGGTTCTACCTTCATAAAGATGGACGTAAATGGAAAGACCTGCCTGTGGAACCACATAAAGAAAATGCTACATTTTCCATTAGCAATGTGAATCATGGTTATGGAGGCACATATTCATGTACTAGCTACACATCATCTTCATATCTTTTGATCTCAGAGTCGAGCAATGTAGTGGACCTGTTTGTTGTAGGTAAGCAAATTCCTCATCTCCTCAGACTAGCAAACTTTATGATTTGGCTAGCAGTGTTTTTATCCTGTGGTGTTTGTTCATTTGAAAAATGCAGATGTTTCCATAAGCAAGGATAAGAGTACTGCTCATGGTGGTACTGATTTGATTCTTCACAAAGAAATTTCAGTAGGATTATTTGACTTTTTAGACACATTCCCTCAATTTCTCACCCCCCCCCCCCCCATATTTTGGTTTAGGAATATAAAAGAATAATGCGGAGTAGTGGACCACTCTCCACAGTTCAATACTCAGGAGTGTACCTTTATACAACAGACTTTACTGGCTTTAGTTGTTGTGATACATCTACTGGGCATGAGAAAGGAAGTGAATATGCACTGCTTCTCAAAACAAAATCCAAAGTTCACAGCTACTCCTGAATATATTCTGTTTGTGAAACCCTTGCAGTACTGTTAAGGATAACTGTGGTTAATGCACCACTGGAAAAGCAGTGAACGGTTGATTGTAGGTGAACTGTGAATCTCAGTGACTACAACTCCCAAATGTCAAGGTCTAGTTCCCCCAAACTCCTTCTGTGTTCATATTTGGGCATATTGAGTGCTTGTGCTAAGTTCAGTTCAGATCCATCATTGTTTGAGTCCACAGTGCTCTCTGGATGTAGGTGAACTACAACTCCAAAGCTCAAGGTCAATGCCCACCAAACCCTTCCAGTATTTTCTGTTGGCCGTGGGAGTTCTGTGTGCCAAGTTTGTGCAATTCCATCGTTGACAGAGTTCAGAATTCTCTTTGATTGTAGGTGAACTATAAATCCCAGCAACAACAACTCCCAAATGACAAAATCATAATTTTTTGAGTGATGGTTGTGTTGTGAGACATTTTGTTGTCAAATTCAGTGTGATTTCCTTCATTGGTTCTTTTGTTTTTAAGGTACTCATTATGCACAGAGCATTTATATATAGTTAGATAGTCCAAATTCCTAAGCACCTCCCTGTTCTGGGAGTCTAATAGAGTCTCTGTCTAGTCCTAAAGTCCAATGAAGTCTTTAAGCATACTGTTCTTACTGAAATCCAAAACAAAGTGTTTCTGCTGGCGTCTGAAAGCAAATCTGTTCTAAAAATGGAGTCTCAGTCCTGAACAAGCCCTGTTCTGATCACATGGTCTGCAGCTCCTCTCACAACAAAGAGCTAAAGAAAAATTGCAATGCAATATACACATATACAATACAGCAAGCAATTATATACATAACAAATCACTAGTGGAGGCTTGAGAATGTTGCTATTTCCAACAATTACAATCCTTGGCAAGGAAGGAGAAGAGATTCTCAGTGTCCAATGTCTTTGTTTGCACAGACAGCAAATTTCCCAGGCCAGCCATTTCTCCAAGTCCAATTATGTTGGTTCCTCCTGGAGGAAATGCCACAATCCAGTGTAAAAGCAACAAGCCATCCATGAGGTTCTTCTACCTTCAAAAGTCTGGTGATGAGATGCCTCAGCAGTCCCTGGAGACCAATGAAACTGTGGCCGAATTCCACATTATGAATGCAAATAAGAACCACACTGGAGAATATAGCTGTAGATACAGCACTGAATCAGCACCTTTCATCGTCTCAAAAATGAGCAACCTCACTCGACTGGTCATAACAGGTAAAAAGATTAATTTTGTGCCTGTCACTCATTATGAGCCAGGAGGTAGAAAAGCTATTCTCCTCTCACAGGAGGGGAGAAAACAGGATTCACATCCCTACAGCACACATATACACACACACCATTCCGCACCTCCTCCTTGTCTGCAGTTACACTACCTGTTGTACACTGCTTTTTAAGATGAAAGCCCACAAGGCTTCACTGGGACTTGGTTTGACCTTGGTGATGCACAATAATATCTCCAGTGGCCTTCTATGACTTCATTCAGTTCATTTAAAAAAAAGTACCACTGTGGGACTAAAATCTCTGATCATTTCCAGTGACTGGTGTGTCTCAGCAAGAATTATAATGTGTGGGCTTTCATCAACTGCAAAGTGTGCATACACCCCTATGGAAGAACCAAGAATCAAGGTTAAAAGTAATCTTAAATTAACAAATTCTTAAGCCTTTTGCCTCCCCTTCCAGATCAGTTCTTCCCTGTTCTGTCTTTGTCTTAACTAGACACTGGAAAGATATTGTGCCCAGGTGAGGGTGAGCTCCTGCTTTAGCCCAGCTTTTGCCTGCCTAGCAGTTTTAAAAACAGTAATGTGAGTAGATTAATAGGTACTGCTTAAGCAGGAAGGCATTTAAGGCACCCATAAGGAAATGCCAGAAAAATGCCTGTGATTCGATCAAGGCGGAAGTTTATGAACAAAAAGCTCTTCGGCAGGGAAAGTAGAGCAACAGCACCCCCTGTGGCCGGAACTTATCATAACCTCCAAGGTGCAGAAGATAGGAAAGCCTATATATACCTCTATCTATGTGCAGTTGTCTGTCTTGTCAGTGTATAATGGCATTGAATGTTTGCCGTATATGTGTTCTATGATCTGCTCTGAGTCCCCTTCGGGATGAGAAGGGCAGAATATAAATACTGTAAATAAATAAATAAATAAATAAATAAATGTCACACAATAGCCATTGTGTAGTCAAACCGAGAGTCTCAAGGAAGTCCTTATTCTAGTATCACATTTCATTTGGTGAAAAGACCCATTCTTCAAAGCACAGAAGTGATATAATCCAGACTGCATCATTTGTTTTTTTCCACTTTCTTTCCAGATTCTCATCTCCCTAAGCCCAGTATCTCCCTGATCCCTGATGGAATTGTAATGCTTACCGACAGGATGCGCATTGAGTGCACAGCCAATCATTCAGGCAACCGATTCTATCTTTATAAAGGCATTGATAAAAAGCAGCAGCAAATTGTGATCACAGAGGGGAACAGAGTGCTCTTCCCTATTAACAATTTGCACAAAGAAGATGCTGGGAGCTTCTCCTGTAGCTACATGAATCCATCGGAATTCTTCACCACTTCAGAAACCAGTGACAACGTGACGTTGTTGGTCACAGGTCAGGTTCTAAGTCAGTTTTTGTAGACTAGCAAACACAAAAGCAAGATTCGAGGAGAGTCAATCTGTTTCAAGTCCCAACTCATAAAAAAAGTTTTAAATTTGTGTGAGTGTAGATGACAGTTGCCCCCAAATGAAACTTTGAACCTTTTTGGAGACTTCATGGGGTAGGTGAGTTGCACGAACTGCTATACAAATGGAGCAGAATAGGTCTGTTTTCCCCTTGCCATCTTCCAACCAGAAAACAATCCATTTTGAAAGAAAAATGGAAGTGATAGCAGATTGCTTCCAATCCCTATGACCATGCGTTGGAAAGACACATTATGGCTTAGGGGACACATCATGGTTTTATCTTTGCTAATTGGTCTAATCTGGACTTTTAAATATTTGCAGGTCTATTATAGTTTCCAGTAGGGTTTTCCATGTGTCAGAAAAGTTGTCTTTGCACATAGGAATGAAACATCATGATTTATCTTGCCATCTATAGTGTGGTGCTTTTCCAGATGCACAATCACACCATGACTGGAAGCCTGTAAGTGACATGTGCATGTGTAAATCATGCTACTCATGTAAGGCATGTAAGACATATTTGGCTGATATCGGCAGAGGTAGTGTTGCACATGCAGATAGTGGAAGAGGTAGAGTTGCACATACAGTAACATTACACATTGTATTATTATTATGCATTATATGTGGTTTGTTGTTTGTCTCACATTGCTTATTGTGCAATGTTCATTGTGCATTGCATCTTGTCATTTTTCAATGTTCCTATTCTAGGGTTGTCTAGTGCTAGATTAGTAAATTACCACATGTGGATATTTATATAGCTAGTCTTCCATATTTATAGGTTTAACTTTTGTGGATTTGACTAATATTTAGGAATTTTTAGGTCCTCAAGTGCAATTATCAGATGTGAATCATAGACTCATGCTGGAGGATCTGAAGATCACCTTTCTAGGTACTCATGCCCAACTATATGGTCAACATTCAGTGGGAGTTGAGCACAGAGGCATACTCAACGACCTAGAGATTCCTAGAGATGTATTATCTCAGATATATAAAACAGCATTGGTTTATTCACCTTTTCTTCCATTTTTACAGTGAATGCGTGACTGTACTATACTGAGGAAATGCCAGATTGCAGCCCATATGTGTGGTCTAAATTTCAGAGTATGTTATCATGAGATGTAGTGATGGCCACCATCTTGGATGGATTTAAAAAGATATAGGAGATAAATTACTGAAGGATGAGGCTATCAGGCCCTACTTGTTACAATGACAACATATTCCCTCTAGTATTTCAGGCACAGTGTTTCCACCAATTTCAGGATAGTGCAAGCAGGGTGATAGTAACTGTTTGAGTACTCCTTAAACAAAAATGCTGATCTAGATAGTCCTTTGATTTGATGCAGATCCCTCTTGTATTGTTTGGCTCAATGCCATAGAGCCCTGAGATTTGTAGTTTGGGAAGGTACTCTTTGGCAGAGAAAACGAAAGACCTAGTAAAGCTGCAACTCCCATTATTCCAATGCATTAAGTAATTGTAGTTACAATGGTGTCAATCTATATTAATTCTGCAGTGTATATGTACCCTAAAATAAGACGGTAAATAATATAGAGATTTTTTTTAATACAACTGCCATAAATCCTGAGACCTTTAGCCAATCTAAAGGAGATCACAGTTGAATATGCAATCAAAGAATGTAGTCCTCAGTGCACTGAACCTGACTGAATGAACCTCCTAATTTCCAGTAATGATAACCATAATAATATATCTTAAACCCTTTCCATCCCAAATGTGGAGAAAATAACGAATTTCTTATAATGGCCAACTATACCAGCTGGACTGGAACAATATGGATGTAATGGTGATGCTGTTGCTGACTCAGTTTTTCTTTTGCCCAGATCCCTCATTACCCAAACCCAACATCTCCTCTGAGAATATGAAGTTCATTGTCCTTGAGAGCAATATCAGTGTCAATTGCGGAGAGTCAGCCCTGAATGGAAACTATTTTCTTCTAAAGGATGATCATGTAATTTCTCACCATAGTCTAGAAGCTAATGAGACCACATTTGTTATCAGCAATGCAACCTTAGCACACGGAGGGAAATACGCATGTAGTTATAGCAGCTCTTCACAGCCTTTTGTAATCTCATTGCAGAGCAAGAATGTGACAATCCAAATAACAGGTAAAAGAGCTACTCTGTACTCTACTCTTTGTTTGGGGCATTATTAGGAGTTTCCCTGTGGCATCTTGGTGCCAGTTTCGAAGGAAGGTCTTGGAGGTCTGTTTTGTGTTGGACGGTGGGATGGACAGAGCAAATGGGTGCTGCATTATTAAAGACTCGGTTCCTACACTTGTAGTTTGGTGAGATTCTGGAGTCTTCTAGCAGAGAACTCTTAATGCTCTTCCCTAAACTGCACCCCCTTTCATAGCACTATAATTACATACTGTGGAAAGGGTCCCAGGTCAGAAGAGTTAGCATCATACATAGTGATGTACAACTCAAACACAATCCACTTCTGAAGGTCAGGTACTATCCATTCTGTCAGGGTATCTTTCCAAATATATCGTATTTTTCACACTAGTGGATGAGAATATATATATGTAGATATATATATATATATATATATATATATATATATATATATTCATTCATTCATTCTAGAAGGTACACTTACATCAGTTTCAAAAGTTATACTATCAACGGGAAGGTAATGGTGCTCCATGCAGACACCTATGGACAACGCTGGCTCTTTGGCTTAGACATGGAGATGAGAAACCCTTCCCCCCCAGTCAGACACAACTATATTGATTGTCAAGGGCAAACCTTTACCTTTACTTTTAATCACTGTTGTGTGGCTACCAATAGTACAAAAATGGGAGGGAGTTTTTGAAAACAAACCCATATTAAGGTGAATTCACCCGGGGTCTGTCTAAGATACATTTGCCATAATGTGTGTGCAAAAGTAGGATCTATGCAGATTGGGAAAATATGATGCAAATAAGGATTTCCATAGGGAAAACCCAGTTCTAGTGTATTTTATGGTTGATTTCACTGTTATCTTGAATCATACATTTGTGACCCACTCTTAGTCCAGGGGTGATGGGTGGTGCTGTAAAAGTGTGTGCATTAAGCTGCCTTTATGTTGTTGAAGGTTTTAATGGCCGGAATCACTGGGTTGCTCAGAGTTTTTCAGGCTGTATGGCCATATTCCAGAAGCATTCTCTCCTGATGTTTCACCCACATCTCTGGCAAGCATCTTCAGAGGCTGTGAGGTCTGTTGGAAACTAGGCAAGTGAGGAATATATGTGGAATATCCAGGGTGGGAAAAAGTACTGTTGTCTGTTTGAGGCAAGTGTGGATGTTGCAACTAGCCAGCTTGATAAGCATTGAATGGTCTTGCAGCTTCAAAGCCTTGCTGCTTCCTGCCTTTATTTGCTTTGCAGATCCTACTCTAATGAAGCCCAGCATTTCTCTTTCTCCAAGTGGGATGACCCGTCTGAAATCCAACATCAGCATTCTCTGCAGAGTCCAAAATCTCAACAATACATTCCATCTGAACAGTACTTTCTACCTTTATAAGATTTATACTATAAAAAATACTGGTGATGAGGACCACAAACCACAAATCATGCAACCAGACAACCTTACAGCTGAATTCTTCATCAGCATTTTGAAGAAAGAGCAAGGAGGAAAATACCACTGCAGTTACAAACCTCCGTCCGGGTCCTTGATGTCAGAACCCAGTGATTCTTTGGAAATTTTTCTATTGGGTAAGGATCCTAATTCAGCATTTTTCAAAATAATGATTGACATGTAATGTGGTATAGACCATCCAGATTTACTTTAATCTGGACCAGAGTTTGAATGTCTCTATCAATTGATCAATAGATATGCGTGTATGTATGTGGACTATAACTTTCAGAATCTCCCATGGCTATGCTAGGACTGAAATAAAAAGCCAGTAGCTCAAAAAATGAATATCTTCTTGTTCAGTGGGAGTGCCATGTTGACTTTAGATCTGAGCGTGCATACAGACCAATTAAATAGACTAAAGAAGCCCAGATTTTGTTCCTATTTTTTCCACTTTTATTTTGGAGATCCATATGTGTTTTCATTACCAGATCCACAGGTTGGTTTATTTTGGCCCAGTGTTAATTGGAAAGACTAGGACCAAAATCTGAGACCTTTCATCCAGCTCACTGCCTTTTACCCAAGAGTTCTCTTACGGTGGTAGCTTACTTTCATTTTCCTCCTCTTTCTTTCTGCACACAGATCCCCAATTAGAGCAACCAACTATTTCCAAGCGTGGGAATACAATGATTGGGGAGAATGTTACCATCTCATGTACAATTAGCAGTACAAATATGAAGTTCTATCTCCATAAGAATGGAAACCCAACTCCAGGCCTTGAAATGGAGACTGATTTTGACATGGGCACATTTTTTATCCCCAATATCAGCTTGGAGCACAGTGGGAATTATAGTTGCAGCTATACAGCTGTTGGTAACCGTTTTGTATACTCACCGCCCAGTGAAATCTTGCAGCTTTTGGTATCAGGTATGGTAACCACTCTTGATTTTTATTTATTTATTGTGTCAGAAGCGACTTGAGAATACAGTTAAATTGTATAGAAAAACTACAAACAAAGTTACAAACCTGGCATTATACTAAATTTCCTTTGACCACTTGGAGTGCCTCTGGTGTTGCTATAAGATGGTCCTCCATTGTACATGTGGCAGGGCTAAGACTGTATTGTAGTAAGTGGTCTGTGGTTTGCTCTTCTCCACACTCACATGTCGTGGACTCCACTTTGTGGCCCCATTTCTTAAGGTTGGCTCTACATCTCTTGGTGCCAGAGTGCAGTCTGTTCAGCGCCTTCCAGGTTGCCCAGTCTTCTATGTGTCCACCAGGGAGTTTCTCATCCGGTGATAATGCAGCATGTCTCTTGATGATATCTTGATATTTCAGGTGCTGCTCCTCCCTTGGCAGGCTCACGGTGCCCATCGGGGGCAATGCGCAGCATGAGCCAGCCAAGGGCAGCTGCTCCACGTGGCCTACTCACGTGTAAAGCACCTCGCGAGCTGCTTTACTCACGAGTAGAGCACCTCGCGAGGTGCTTTACTCGCAAGTAGGCCGTGCGGTGCTGCTCCATGCACTCATGCCGGCCACAATATCTGCTTTGAASTGGGTTATCTGAATCCACACTGCCATATATTCCAGCTCAAAACAGATATTGTGRGCCTTTTTTTGCCTTGATATTCTGGGATAATGGGTTGTCTGGAAGGGTCCCCAGAATATCAAGGAAGAAAAMCCCACAATATCTGCTTTGAASTGGGTTATCTGAATCCACACTGCCATATATTCCAGCTCAAAACAGATATTGTGGGACTTTTCATAGCCTRACAGTTTTTAGGGAGAATCCTTTGTTGAGAGGTGATTAGCTGGCCCTGATTGTTTCTTGTCTGGAGTTCCCCTGTGTTTGAGTGYKGYTCTTKRTYTACAGTTAYAATTTTAGAGKTTTTTTTWAATACTGGTWGCCAGATTTTGTTCAGACTAGAAATAGGAAGATTTCCCATTCTCTGCTCCTGGAATTATTGCCTAAAGAGGGCTAGAAAGAACCCCCTCTAAGGGCCCTTCCACACAGCAAAATAAGATATGTGCAATGTGCATAAGAATTTTTTGATTKWTTTTTTTAAATAAAAACTATAGTCCGGCCCTCCAACGGTCTGAGGGACAGTGAAGTGKCCCCCGGTTTAAAAAGTTTGAGGACCCCTGATCTATGGACTCCATGCAGTCCCACAGTCATTTCTAGAAACCCCTGTCCCTCAAAGTGCCCCTCATCTGGGTAAAAAAAATTGAGCATAACATAGTTTTTCATACATGGAAGCCTCCAGGAAGAGTTGTTTGACAAGAAATCCTAACTCACTCCAAACCAGGTTTTCAATTGAATGTGCAAACAAATATGAAATGTGGATTGCAGTGCACAGTACACAATTGTATGTGCAAAGGCAGTTTGTGTGCAAGGACAAATCATCTGTAACTTTCAACTGAATGTGAACTTCCACATCTGACAAAAAAATCCAGTCGTTTGTTTAGGAGAACATAAATATGCCAACATCACTAAGAAAATGCCAGTCAAGAAATGCAATTCCTTCCATATTTATTTTTCTCACTTCCCTAGAGATCATTATTTATTTATTTTGAATATTCAAATGGCATAATTTCCCTCATTTAAGTTTATATAAAATGTAAACACTGTGGTCTTGTATCAGGAGGCTATCTCCAGGGCATATGCCTCCAGGGTGTCACTTTCAGAATTTTGCCCTCTTTATACTTATACATAAATATCAGGATTGTTCTTTTTAAAACAGTAGTTTAATGCCTTCTTCCTTCTCAATAACTTTTGTTGTCTTGTTGCCTGGCCATACATTTTGATCACACTTCAATTTTTTAATATTTTATCTGTTGTTGGGATGGCATAAACTGTGAATGATGATCTTCCTATCCACGTTCATATGGGTCTAGATCCTGATTTAACTTGTCTCATTCTAGAGAAACCGGATTACACCGTGGCAAACATAATTCACTGTGTCATTGGAGCCCTAATTCTTCTTCTGCTTGGCTGTCTCATGACTTTGGATTGCCACAGCACAAAAGCATATGAAGTCAGCCCCCAACAACGCTCAAAACAGGAATCCTTAGGTGAAACCTCTTTGTCACCAGCCCTAGATGCAGACCCAGATCCAGCACCACCAACTAATCAGGTAAATGGGAAGGGAATAATACATGTAGTTTGTATTGTCGAAGGCTTTCATGGCTGGAATCACTAGGTTCTTGTGGGTTTTTTCGGGCTACCTCACTACCTCTGAGGATGCTTGCCATAGATGCAGGCAAAACGTCAGGAGAAATGCCTCTAGAACATGGCCCTATAGCCCGAAAAAACCCACAAGAACCTAATACATGTAGTTGTTCAAACTTTGGGAAAACGGTCCTGTCCTCTGCACTTGTTTGATCATTTTGTCCAAGTTGCAATTTTTTCAAAATTAGAACTAAGCCTGGCCTTTGGAGGAAAAATTGAGATCAATTTTTGTGAAATTTTCAGAGAGTAAGGATGTAAAGATAGATTGCTACAAGTAAAAAGTAAGCAAAGCCTAGCCAAGCATGTTCCTAAAGTAGAAATGAGGATGTCATGTATCAGGGTGATGTCCCACTGTGAATTAGAAGCCCTTGCCAATATAATGCAAATCACAAAGATACTGGAGTCCTATGGGAGTGGATTCCATAATTTGGAAGCAATCACAAAGAAGGCTCTATCACAGACATGGGCAAAATTCAGCCTTCTGGGAATTTTGGACTTCAGTTCCCACAAATCCTAAAAGATGAAGCGGTTGAGGGGGGAAAGGAAGGGGCCCGAGGCTGTTAGGATTTGTGGAAATCCAAAACACCTGGAGGGCCAAAGTTTGCCCATGCCTGATTTATCATATCCTCTCAAAGCAGGCACCTGTGATAGTGAGGGGATTCGGAGAAAACTCTCCTCTCAAAGTTCTTCCATGCAGGTTTATATATTTTTCATTTCATTTAGTGTCATGCATTTGCATTAATCTTTTTTTCATGCTTGATATGCTAGGAATGAACAATCTTTTGACTTGGCCATAAAACCACGACCCCTGTTTGTGAGTACTGTATGAAGATGAGATCATTTTCTCAAGCTGCGTGAGACTTGCAAACTACTTCGCTTTCGCCTAATAATAGAGGAAACATCAGTGGATCATAAGGCATGTTGAGAAGAAACTTGACTTACCTCGCACACTTCACAGTTACAAAATTCCTTGTGCTATTCTTCCTCTTGTCTGTGGAAAGATAATTTCAAATCTTTTGATGGGTTAGGGGCGTCAAAGGAACCAGCCTGGTATTGCCATCCACTGCTCTCAATCATAACCTAGTCTTACCTTTTTGAATAATTTCTGCCTGATCTGGCCAGCAACCTGCAAAGAGGAAAAAGGCATCACAAAAGAGGAGTCACATCTTTCTTCATGTAGTGTTTTGTGTGTTGGACTAGCAAAAATCAGGATTTGAATCCCTGCTCAGTTATGGAAACCCACTGGATGACCTTGGGCAAGTCAGACTCTCTCAACCTCAGAGGAAGGCAATGGCAAACCCTCTCTGAACACACCTTGCCAAGAAAATCCCATTATAGGCTCACTTTAGGGCATTGTTTCTCAACCTGGAGGTCGGGACCCCTGGGAGGGTTGTGAGGGGGGTTTCAGTGGGGTTGCTAAAGACCACCAGAAAACATATATTTCTGGTGGTCTCAGGAACCCCTTTGGCAGAGAAGGCTGAAGACCTCTCCACCTGTCCTTCTCTTCCTTTTTGGAAACAGAAGGCGAAACCTCCCACCAAAATCCCTCCTCCTGCTGTGATTGACCGGCCTCTCAGCTGGCCTGTAAGCCAATAGGAAGGCTGTTTCTTTGACTTCAAGGGGGGAGAGGAGAGCAGGCGCACTCTCCTCTAAATCATTGTCAATTCCTCCCAAATCCCTCCCAAATCTCATGACCAATTTTCTGTTGGTCATGGGGGTTCTGAGGGGGAAGTTTGGCCCAATTCTATCATTGGTGAGGTTCGGAATGCTCGTTGATTGTAAGTGAACTATAAATCCCAGCAACTACAACTTCCAAATGTCAAGGTTATTTTTCCCAAACTCCACCAGTGTTCATATTTGGGTATATTGAGTATTTGTGCCAAGTTTGGTCCAGATCTATCATTGCTTGAGTCGACAGTGCTCTCTGGATGTAGGTGAACTACAATTCCCAAACTCAAGGTCAATCCCTACCAAACACTTCCATTATTTTCTGTTGGTCATGTCCCAAGTTTGCTTCAATTCCATTATTGGTGGAGTTCAGAATGTTCTTTGATTGGTGGGTAACTATACATCCCAGCAACTACAACTCCCAAATGACAAAATCAATCCCACTAGTATTCAAATTTGGTCTTATTGGGTAGTTGTGCTCGATTTCATCCAGTGAATGAAAATACATCTTGAAAATACATTATAATTCATAACAGTAGCAAAATGACAGTTATGAAGTAGTAAAGGTAAGTAAAGGTTTTCCCCTGACATTAAGTCCAGTCATGTCTGACTCCAGGGGTTGGTGCTCACCTCCATTTCTAAGCCGAAGAGCTGGCATTGTCCGTAGACACCTCCAAGGTCACGTGGCTGGCATGCTAGGGTTGGGGGTCACCACAACATGAACTGTATTAAGTACTCACTGCATTAGAAAGATTGAGAACCATTGCCTTAAGGTCATCAGAAATTAGAAACAACTTGAAGACACACAGAACACTACAATCCATACCACATCCACAAAGAGGGCTTTAGTAAGATTCTTGATGATCTTTCCATGGCTTAGACTGGGGTGGAAATTAAGTGCCCCTCCAAATATCGCAAGCAATGGTAAGGGATGTTAGGATTGCAACCCAACAACATCCGAGAAGCCACATGACTCCATCCCTTGGTTCAGTCTTATACGTGTGTTGCCTCCAAGTTACCTGTCTACTTATGAAGAACCATGAATTTCAGTAGAGTTTTCTTAGGCAAGAAATGCTCAGAGGTAGCTTTTCCAGATCTTTCCTCTGAAATATAGCCTACAATACCCAGTATTCATTGATGATGTCTTTTTCAAGTATTAACTAGATCTGACCATGCTTAGCTTCCAAGACTAGATGGGGCCTGGTGCCTTTAGAATAATGAGGCCTCTGGTTGAACCTTTCATCTTTCCAAATATGTCATTAGCCTGAAGTAAAAATCTATCTCTACATATGCATATTGTATCCATTATTGCCTAAATATTCACATTCTTGTATTGCTATGAAGATGAGTGTTGTATTGCTATGAAGATGGACTGTTTATTTGCTAGGTACTGTATTGTTGTATTGTTGTATTGTGTGGGCTTCGGCCCGTTGTAAGCCGCATCGAATCCCTTGGGAGATGCTAGCGGGGTACAAATAAAGTTATAATAATAATAATAATAAGTTGGACAGCTGTACTTCTCCAGGTGATATTGGATTGAAATAAAGGCATCGGTTGTACCTTCAAGATGAGAAAAAAAGTCCAGAAACATCTTGAATTCTACCTGTTTCCTATTACTGCCATAGAGGCAATGATCTCTGGAGTAGAGAGGTGGGGATGAACTCCTGGTTCCAAACTTAAATTCCACAACCTCGCATACACACACTAATACTTTTATCAACCACTACACAGACCAGCTCCTTGTTTGGTCTTTCCTAGCTTGGTGATCCTTACCAACAAAAGAGAATAATGAAGCTGGTGGGCTTCTAATAGTCAGTTCTGAAGCCACATTGTCTCTAGCTCAACTACATACAGTCTTGCTCACTGTGGATATCCAGATTATATCTGAAGTCACAGGAAACTCACAACTCTGCAACATCTACCACATCATCTGGGTGCTGAGCTGTCTCAATCTGTAGGAAAAATCTCTTGTGGTGAGCTCCCCAATGGGCTTGTATCTACACTTATATCAACCCACTCTTAAGATCTTCAGCTCAGCTCTTGCATGAAAGTACCACTTCTGTTTCTGAGATCCAGGTAATGCTTTTTGTAATTCCAGGACATTTTGGCTTTTTCTCCCACTTTCTTTCTCAAGCTTTTGTGTTCTTCCCAGCAGGTGTTGGGGTTCAGCCTGAGTTTGAACTTGAACCTGATTCTCTGTTTGTTCCTCCTGATGCTAATGAAAGTATATTTACTGATGCTAGTGGAAATGTACCTTTTGATGCCAATGCTCCTGAAATTAGTGAGGAAGAATCTGCTGTAGGTTTGGAAAATGCCAATGTTCCTGAAATTAGTGAGGAAGGAACTTCTGTAGATTTGGAAAATGAAAGTACCAGTGTTCATGAGAATGTTTCAGAGGGAGACCTTGAACTTTCCCTCCCTTCTGCACCTGTTAACTGTAATGACAACAGAAGGGGCCAAATTTGGGAAGACAGAAGTAAATCACTCAGTTTGCGTCGATCCTCCCGAATTCAAGAATTAAAAACATTGGCTTCAAAACAGAAGGGCGGTTAACGGAACCGATTCTTGAGTTTTAATTGCAATACGCCAGGCTGATTCCCTCAGTTCAGGCATCGTTTCAGAATTGATGAAGACCTTGGCAGTTCTCCCGGTTCCCTGGCCATAGTATGGGAAGATTTCTAGGATATCAAGTACGGTTAGTGGATTGCTAACAGATTCCAGTATTTCCCAGTGAGGATTTTGGTTTTGCTTTGTCCATTTAAATTCATGTTTGCTGATTTTGCTGTGGCTTTTGACTTGCATTTTTCCTTTATTTTGTAACCATTTTTCTTCAATAAAAAAGGATTGTTTTTCACAGCCAAGTGTGGTGGATAGTTATCTTAGGGCCTCGTTCCCTGCTCTGGATTGCAACAGCAGGGTGAATTCCAGTATTGCCGTATTCGTAGTCTTTCCTCCTGTGCTGGAACTGCACAAGTTGCAGATCCCTTTATCTGGCTTCCTCACCCATAGTTTTATAACAGTTACTTCTATGTTGGTTTTTATGAGGGTGGAGTTTAGGAAAACCCTTCCCGGTTTGTGTCAGCCATTTTGTTTGCCCCTTTTGCCTGAGGAAAAGGAGCCATTTTGTGTCAGTTAGTTGGCCACGCCCCTTTGCCTGAGGTAAGGGAGCCATTTTAGATCATAGACCACCAAGGAATCCTTGAGGCAGAACATGTCTTTAGTTGGCCCCAGAGATTCAGGCTTGGACAAGCCATTTCAAGTCAATACTATATAACCAGTTATACTTCATAACCAGTTGTACTATATAACCAGTCAATACTATATAACCAGTTGTACTTCATAACCATTTGTGCTATATAACCAGTCAATACTATATAGCTGGCTTTACTTCAGAACCAATCAATCTATATAAATAAAAGTGTAATGTTCGTTTGTGGGATTAACAGAACTCAAAAACCACTGGACGAATCGACACCAAATTTGGACACAAGACACCTAACAACCCAATGTATGTCCTTCACTCAAAAAAAACTGATTTTGTCATTTGGGAGTTGTAGTTGCTGGGATTTGCAGTTCACCTACAATCACCAATGGTGGAATTGAACCAAACTTGGCACACAGTTCTCCCATGACCAACAGAAAATACTGGAAGGGTTTGGTGGGCAGTGTCCTTTGGTTTTGGAGTTTTAGTTCACCCACATCCAGAGATCACTGTGGACTCAAACAAGGATGGATGTGGACCAAACTCTACACAAATGCCCAATATGCCCAAATGTGAACACTGGTGGAGTTTGGGGAAAAGAGAATCTTGACATTTGGAAGTTGTACTTGCTGGGATTTATAGTTCACCTACAATCACAGAGCATTCTGAACCCCACCAACAATAGAATTGGGCCAAAATTCCCACACTGAACCCCCATGTGGGCCACAGCAACGCGTGGCAGGGGACGGCTAGTCTATATAAATAAAAATGTAATGTTAGTTTGTGGGATTAACATAACCCAAAAACCTCTGGACAAATTGACACCCAATTTGGACACAGTAACACCTATCAAGCCAACAAGTGACCATCACCCAGAAAAACATTGAAAAACACAGCAGAATAAACTTTAAAAGCCAAAAATAAATAAATAATAAATTACAACACATGTGCATAATCACGTAAATACACATATACACAAATATATACACACACAAAACACATATACACAGACTGGGCCACAGCAACACATGGCAGGGGATGGCTAGTACTATGTAGCCGATTGTACTTTATAACCAGTTGTGCTATATAACCTTTCACTACTATATAATCAGTTGTACTTCATAACCAGTTGTGTTATATAACCAGTCAATACTATGTAACCGGTTGTACTTCATAACCAGTCAATACTGTATAACAACTTGTACTTCATAACCAGTTGTACTATATAACCTTTCAATACTATATAACCGGTTGTACTTCATAACCAGTCAATACTATATAACCAGTTGTACTTCATAACCAGTTGTGCTATATAACCAGTCAATACTATATAACCGATTGTACTTCATAACCAGTCAATACTATATAACTAGTTATAGTTCATAACCAGTTGTACTTATAACAAGTTATATTACCTACAACCAGTTTCTTCAGATCAGTTACCTCCTACAACGAGTACTTCAGCCAATTAGTTAAACAACGACTGGTTAATGCCTTGGGCATTGGGCGCCTCAGAGGCCCCTATACCAGAGACTGAGAGCAAGGAAAACTTGTCATCTATTCTCAGGAAAACTATCATCTGTTCTCCTCAAAAATGTCTATGTCAGGGCAGCTTCAGAAACATTAAGTTACCTTTCAAGTTTTAAATATGAACTTTGTTGTGGGGAAATCCCAAGATCTGTTAATAAATTGTTGCCTTTTCCTCAAAGCAACAGTATGGACATTAATTCTGTGGGGTTCCTTGTTCCAAAAGAAGGCAATACAGCATATCTCAAACTGACAGAGAAATAAGACACATTAATGCCAAAGAGACCTTAAAAGCAGCTTGGGTACGACAGCACAACTCCTCTTCTGCACATTTAAAATTAGATTTATGGTGTTGTGTTTGTGCACTGGAATACCTATACCCACCCACACAGTCCGGCCATACATGTCCACACCAGGAGAAAGCAATAAGGAAAAAAAAATCTGTATTTCCTTATTGTTTTGTAAAACAGCTCTGTGTGTGAGTAGAGAGCACCACAACAATTTCAATATTTATAAATTCTACAGATAACCACTAGATGGCTTCAGCACTGTTGTTATGCATTTGAAAGGTGGTTTTAACTGCCTTTAGGAATTAAAATTCTCCAGAAGTGGCTTCCCTACACACACACACACACACACACACACGGCAGCAAAAACTCTCAACACAATAAAATATTTATAGACTCATGGGCTATTAAAACCAATCCTCCAAAATATTAAAATTAGCAATAATTCCAGATAAAGTGATCCCAAATGGCCTAACTCCTGAACTTCTAATATATGTATGAAGAAACGACAGGAGGAATGACACATATATGCCTTTGATTAAAGTAACCAAAAGACAAGATCTGGGAGAAAGGACTTAAAATCACACTCCAGATTTTGCTGGACTACCTCCCCCATGAGTCCCAACCAGCATGGTCAATAGTTGGAATATTGGGGATTCTAGTTTAATTCCCAGTGGCACAGCAGGTTAAACATCTGAACTGCTGAACTTGCTGACCAAAAGGTCAGCAGTTTGAATCTGAGGAGCGAAGTGAGCTCCCTCTGTTAGCACCAGCTTCTGCCAAACTAGCAGTTCAAAAACTTGTAAATGTGAGCAGATAAATAGGTACCACCTTGGCAGGAAGGTAACAGTGCTCCATGGAGTCATGCTGGCTACATGACCTTGGAGGTGTTTACGGACAACGCTGGCCCTTTGGCTTAGAAATTGAGATGAGCACCCTCTCCCCCATAGTCCGACATAACTAGAATTAATGTCAAGAGGAAACCTTTACCTTTAGTTTAACAATATCTGGAGGACAGCAGGTCCCTTGGTCCTGACTTACACCAAAGAAGAACCCAATTAAACCAGCTTTTTGCACCAAAGATGAGATTCCTKAAATTCAGGACCTGGGACAGCTCTGATCAGCAGCAAGCCACAAACTCCTTCCTTTCCCATTTCTGCTTTGTTGTTCATTCGTTCAGTCGCTTCCGACTCTTCGTGACCTCATGGACCAGCCCACGCCAGAGCTCCCTGTTAGCCGTCACCACCCCCAGCTCCTTCAAATCAAGCCAGTCACTTCAAGGATACCATCCATCCATCTTGCCCTTGGTCGCCCCCTCTTCCTTTTTCCTTCCATTTTCCCCAGCATCATTGCCTTCTCTAAGCTTTCCTGTCTTCTTCTTCCTGTCTTTCTGCTTTATCTCACTACAATTATTGCAGTGTTTATATGTTCAATTTCTTGTTTTACTATACCTAGATATCTTTTCTTCTCACATTCCTATACTATGTATTGTGCAGCCTCAGACTTTCCTTTTACCTCTGAGCATATCAACAGCTGAATGTCCTTTCACCTTGAGTCTTCAAGGATGGGTTGTTTTGCACAGGAAAGGAAGAAACATCTATACCTTCTTACTCAAAAGTAAGACCCACACATTTTCAAGTAAATCTGTACAGAATTGTGCCCTTAAAATTGCTTATATTGGCAATGATGAATCTCTCTATTCTAGCCAATACTTGTGTTTTCTCTCATATCTTTGTGTTTTTATGCTTTTCACTAAAGCCTGGTTACTTTCAGAGCCTCATTTCTCAAGCAAAATTATCACAGATTTAAAGAGGCAAGTCATGAATGTTGGCACTCATGTGCTCTATGGTTATGTGAGGGTCTTACTGTATACATCCAGAATGGACTACTGCAATGCACTCCATGTGGGGCTGCCTTTGAAGACGGCTCAGAAACTGCAGCTAGTGCAAAGGTCAGCAGCCAGGTTACTAACCAGAGCTAGCTATAGGGATCACACCATGCCCCTATTAAAGCAGCTGCACTGGCTGCCAACAAATTTCCGGGCCCAATTCAAAGTGCAAGTTATTACCTATAAAGCCCTATATGCTTTGGGTCCAACCTATATTCGAGACTGCATCTCCTTCTATGAACCAGTGCAGGCACTGAGATTTTCTGGGGAGGCCCTCCTCTCAGTCCCACCACCATTTCAAATTTGGCTGGTGGGGACAAGAGAGAGGGCCTTCTCAGTGGTAACTCCCCAGCTCTAGAATGCCTCCCCTGGAGAGATTAGGTTAGCCCCCACTCTCCATGCTTTTCATCTAGTCTAAAAACTTGGCTTTTTAGACAGGCCTTTGACCTTGAGTAGATTTTAATGGTTATACGTGAGGACTTAGTGACTGCTTCAGTCTGGAACTTGGGTTGCTAATTTAATACTGCCAGTTTTATCTGCAGGCACCACTGCATTTTCTGAATTTTAAATTTTTTATTATGTGTCATTTTATGCATGTTTGCTGTTGTAATTTATGTTGTTATAGTCTATATGTTTGTGTATTGTTCATTTTATGCTCAGTACTGGTGGTGCTTCTGTGAGTCACCCCTAGTCCCTTTGGGGAGATGGCGGCAAGGTATAAATAAAGTTTATTATTATTATAAAGTTTATTATTATACAAACTGAGGGCACACAATGTTAACACCAATGGGGAACCGATATCCACTACTCCCATGCTAGATTTCTATCCAGTATCTAAGATGCCCACATATCTCCCAGACTCAGTTCCCTTCATGTCTTTGCCTCAGTCCATTATTCTTTTTTAAAGCAAGACATACTTTGATTCTTTCCTCTGGCTAAAGAGTTGAATGATTCTCAAGAATACTAGGCTTGTCTTGGGCCATTTAAGCTCTCATGGCAACACATAGCATAACAAAGACATGTGCCAGACAGTACTTGGCCTATTATTCCTCTGTTGTTCAGCTCCAATCTTACAAAAAAATGTATGGTGCAACTAATAGAGCAGGCATGGGCAAACTTTGGCTCTCCAGGCAATTCCTAGCTTCAGGCCCTTTCCTTTCCCCCCACAGCTGCTTACATGATTGAGGAGGGGAAAGGAAGGGACCTGAGTCTGTTAGGAATTGTGAAAGTTGAAGTCCAAAATACCTGGCGGACCACAGTTTGCCCGTGTCTGTGATAGAGCCTATTTCAAAGTCTTGGGTGAAGTTTCCCTCCAATCTTTGCAGAAGTGAATCGGAAAATTCTTCAGGGATGGGTCAAGCCAGTCACAGCTATTTGGGACTTCAAAAGCTAAAGTTTGTTGCAAATTAGCTATCTAATTTATTCTACATTTTTAAAGAAAGTAACTTATGTGGAAAGAAATGGCAGCTTCGCCCAAAAAAAAAGCTAAAGAAGCAGCTGGGCAGGAACACTTTCAGCAATCAAAATTATTTTGTTGCTCACCTAGATGACTGTGCAACTTTTTTGCACTGAATTACATGTTTGATACTTTACTCCAACAGGTGGTAAATGAGAGATTTTACAATTTACCAAGCAGTAAATTCCAACAGTCTGCCTTTCTATTTGCCGTGGACTGTTTATTTTATTATTTCCTTCCCTGCATGCAATGCAAAACTTAGTTGGCCCAATACTGTGGATAAATATGAGTCTACTTCAGTTTATTCCACAAAGCAAGCCCATGAGCAAACGTTAAGTAAACCCAAATCATAGAACAAACACTCCCCTTTGGGAGTGGCCCAAACTGATTGATCCTAATTACTCCATGTGTTGTCGAAGGCTTTCATGGCCAGAATCATTGCGTTGTTGTGAGTTTTCCAGGCTGTATGGCCATGTTCCAGAAACATCTCCTGACGTTTCAGCCACATCTATGGCAGGCATCCTCAGAGATTGTGAGGTTGACAATCTCTGAGAATGTCTGCCATAGATGTGGGTGAAAGGTCAGGAGAGAATGCTTCTGGAACATGGTTATAAAGCCTGGAAAACTCACAGCAACCTTAATTATTCAGCCTGTGGCTTGCAGTTAATCAGGGGACTCTTTTCCTCTTAATACACACACTTAACCATGTACCTTAATAGAAGGGATTTTTGATAATAAGTCCATTTTGCAGCAATGTGTTAACTAAAGCAGGTTGGATATTTGGGAGCCAGAGTAGTGATTTGAGTGCTGGACTACAACTCTAGAGACTAGGATTCAAATCCCTGCTCGGTCATGGAAACCAATACGTGACCCTGGATATGTCACGCACTCTCAGGTTCAGAAGGGTGCAATCTTTGAAGGAATTTTGCCAATAAAACCCAGTTATAGGTTTGCCTTTGAGTTACCATAAGTCAGGAACAACTCAAAATCCCACAACAACTATGAGAGATCAGAGAAGGAGCCAACTGAAGCTTTCAATGGGAGGGAGGTTCAAAACCTAGGAACAGCCACCAAAATTGGAAATCTGTTGGAGGTGTAAACCAAAGGCTATAGCAAGGCTGCAAAACATGAATCTCTGCCTTGTACTATGTATGAAATCCATGTTTGGGAGCAATATTACACAACAAAATTTGCAAGTGAAGATTGCAAATGAAATGGGTGGCCATTTCAGCAGAAAGAGATGGGATGCATTGTCAAAGGCTTTCATGGCCAGAATCATTGGGTTGCTATGAGTTTTTCGGGCTGTATCTCCAGCAGCATTCTCTCCTGACATTTTGCCTGCATCTGTGGCTGGCATCTTCAGAGGCTGTGTTGGCAGTGAGGCAAGTGGAGTGCATCTACACCTGTGGAATGTCCAGAATGGGAGAAGAACCCCTGTCTGTTTAAAGAAAGTTTGAATGTTATTAGAAAGCTTGAATTTGAGTATGATGAAGCTTGCTAGTGGAACATGGCCATACAACCCCGAAAACTCTCAGCAACCCAGATGGGATACACATTGGCTAAAAATGTGCATCCCAATGAATGCACAATTCCACTAAACTGAATGCAGACATTCATCATTGAAGAAAAATGACCAACCAGTTCCGCAATGCAAAGGGATTCTGATGCACTTTAGAGATGAACTGAGAGAATGAAGTTGGCAGCCAAGGTTTTATAAACAAAGTTTATGGATTGATGTCCCCAAGGATAGACCTCTATAAGCAGACTGTATGTATGAATAGCTTTAGAAATGCAAAATTTGTGGCTATGTTGATGTGGTGACACCTTCAGTATTATGGTAATTATCATTGGGGGACAAAGGCAAGAGGGAAGATGTTGCCTAAAGGCAAGATGAGTAGATAGTCATATGAAAGGTGGAGAGAGAGTGCCAGAGAGGAACTGACACATGCATAAGACATCAACAGGATTCCAGTCATAGTCTGACCACATATGATCACTGTTTTGGAAGTAGGAGAAGACATGGAGAGGTCAGTCGTAATACAAGCAGACAGCTAGGATGATCTGGGAGTCTTCCCTCTTGTTTATCTGATCAGTCTCCCTTTCTGATATCGCCTGTTATTGCACGATGTAACACAATTTGTGTTCTGGGTTATGGATGTCATTTTTAAATGGCTCTATTATTAAACATGAAAAAAGTTTATTTAACTGCAAAAATAAATGTTTTTTCAGGAAGGACAAGCTGCAGCACATTTTGCTATGGGTTTTCAATGAATATCTCCTAGAGTCTTAACCAATTCAACTCAGTTTGTAACAACCACAAAAACAAAGTTTATGGACTAGAACAACTACTTTCAAAGTAAGTACCACACAATTAAATAACACTTTCAAACCAGGAACAATTTTTTAAAAAAATTGTTACATAGTTTTATCAAGTGTGTTGATGTGATTCAGTGGTGAATTTATGCCCCCATAATAATAATAATAATAATAATAATAATAATAATAATAATAGTAATAATAATTTATTTATATTCTGTCTTATCTCTCCGAGAGGACTCAGGGTGGATTACAGTACACATATACAGCAAACATTATAAAAGTAACAAAGACAGACAGTACATAAACAGAGGTAAAGGCTTCCCATCTTTTTCCATCTCCGGCATCTGGAGGTTGTGCTTGGCTTCGGCCACCAGGGAAGGGGCAGTGTGCTGTCACTCCATTTTCCATGTCAAGGAGCTTTGTTGTCTTTAGATGCTCTCCCGATCAAATTGCTGCCTTTTATTACCTCTCTGCCAAAGCGGTACCTATTTATCTGCTCACATTACTTTTTTGAGCTGCTAGATGAGCAGAGCTGAGTTGATGGTTGGGAGCTCACCCCAACCCGGACTTGAACTGTCAACCTTTTGATTGGCAAGATTTTCTGCAGCTGGAAGTTTAACCTGCTGTGCTAAATCCCAGCCTCCTTATTCCCCTTCCAAACACAAAGCAAGAGTAACACAGAACAGCATCCTAGCTATCCTAGAATGATTTTTTTCAATAAAGCCCATTTCTTTTGTTTTCCTGAAATGTTTTAATTTGCTGGGACCTTTCCACACTTCACCATTACTGCAGTTGTGTTCCACTTTAGCATTCATAGCTGCATCCTATGGGATCTTGGGGGTTGTAGTTTAGAAAGAAAATTGAACTGTCTGGCTGAGTATGCTAAATATCCCTCGCTAAACTACACTTCCCAGAATGGAACTACAGCAATTAAAGGAAATAGACATCATAAATAAAATAGAGGCTAGAGAATAGAAAAGTTACCCCTGGATGCATTTCGCAAGAAGCCTTCAAGAGATCTCTAGAAGAGTCCCATGTAAGGCTTATCTGACCTGGTTGTTTCATTTTACATACTTATTTTATTCAATTTGAATAGATGGTATGCTAAAACATTATTTGTTTTCTTACTTTCTTTTTTCACAATGCAGGAACATGTCTGTTTTCACCACGTTATTTGTCCCTCTGGTACCAAATGCTCAGGAACACAATTCCTATAAGTGAGGTATATGAATATTTAAGATTCATGATGTGAAAGAGAGAAGTCCATATGTTAGGTTTGAATCTTTTTAAGGGCATAATGATGTGAAGGCTTGTAACTGAATCACACCATATGTTGTCTTGCTGCAGTGATGTTGTTTAAGCAAAATGGAAACATACCATAACTGGAACTGTCTCTTATATACCTCAATGCAATTGCATGATTCTGGCACTTGGTTGACATGAATTCCTGATATCAGTCTCCTGCATCGCCCTGAGGAACAGATCCCAGACAAGAAAAACTGTGTCACATCACTGAGTCATAACTAACGTGTCACTTTTGTTTTGTTCAGCAGAGGGGACAAGTCCGCTGGGATGCCTATCCATTCAGGCAAAAAGGCTGCTGAAGGCCTGAAGACTTTGAGAAAGGGAGAGTCTGGTAGGGTGTAGTTGGCTAAGTACACTGTCTCCCCACCAGCCAAGTAACCAGCCCAGATCCCAAATGTCCCAATGGTCATTATTGTATGGTTGCAATGAGCAAGGAGAGCAAAATCTCTCCCTGGAGATGACTCTCGCCCATCCCCAGCAAAGTAAACATCCCCCCTGGAAGCATTAATGTTTTGCTTGCACCAATCCATCCCATTGCTGGTCACTACGAAGATGGGGTTGTCATACTTCACTCTGAAGTAGTGCATGGCTTTTTCCAGGTAGCCTTTATCAGCCACCACACCTTTCCAGGTATGTGGCATCACCCAGACGTAATCCCCCCTCCGAACATGGATACCAACATATGTCACCTCTTCTTCCTTCTTTCTCAGAGTCCATAGGTATTGATTGACCTCTTCTTTGATGTGATCATGGAAGGTGAACTCCTGAAGTATCTCTTGACGGATATGGTGATAAAATGTGAAAGAGCATGGGTAGCCTGTCAAGCGGACATATTTGCCTTTAATATGACGATAGTCTTCTGACATCCAGTCATGTAGATTGAAGTTCCTCCAACGGATATTTTTAACCACCTCAGTAGAGATCACAGGCAAAGTAATCCGGAAGATTGGGGAGAGATATTGGTGCATGGATGGGAGGATGAAGGCTTTGTGTCCATTGAGTTTGGCTAAAGCATAAAGTGTGGCATATTCCCCCATCTGGTTCCCCAATCGGCCAATGGAGTTCACTGTCCATATACCAGGATCTACTGGCTTAGTAGTTGTGATAGGAGTAGCACTGGTGCTGTTGAGGAAAGGAGGGTTTTCCATCAAGGGGACATAGGTGGTGTTTTTCAAGTGGCTTTTCCATTGATGGAAAGACGTCTGGGTATACAGGTGAAAGAATGCAGAAAGAGAGAGGAGGCCAAAGAAGTACAAGAAAAAGAAGGAAGGTTTCTCGGCACATCGTTCTGGAAGATTCATATCTCCACAATGGAGCACCTAAAAGGAAAATCAGGATACAGTGAGAAGACAAGTAGAATTCATCCTGTAGAAACCCAGAGGCTTTATAGTGAGCTTGACCACAAAATCATTTGCCTCTCTTTTTGTCATGAGCATTCAAGTCATGTTTGTATTATGGAGACCCTATGGCTCATGAAGTTTTCTTGCCAGCCTATGTACCGTGTTACTAGGTGAAATGTCTAAAATAGTCCCAACAGGAGAAGAAAGGAAACTGAAGTCTTGGGGGAACATGTGATCCGAAAATATATCTTAGTAGGAAAGAACTCTCAAAGAGGAAAAAATAGGGCAAAGCACCCCTAAATGCATTACATAGTGCACATTTCCCATTTTGGGTGAATTGCTTAAAATATCTCCAGCTAGAATTAATAATAATAATAATAATAATAATAATAATAATAATAATAATAATCTATATAAATAAAAATGTAATGTTCGTTTGTGGGATTAACAGAACTCAAAAACCACTGGACGAATTGACACCAAATTTGGACACAAGACACCTAACAACCCAATGTATGTCCTTCACTTAAAAAAATGATTTTGTCATTTGGGAGTTGTAGTTGCTGGGATTTATAGTTCACCTACAATCAAAGAGCATTCTGAACCCCACCAACGATGGAATTGAACCAAACTTGGCACACAGTTCTCCCATGACCAACAGAAAATACTGGAAGGGTTTGGTGGGCAGTGTCCTTTGGTTTTGGAGTTGTAGTTCACCTACATCCAGAGATCACTGTGGACTAACAATGATGGATCTGGACCAAACTCTACACGAATACTCAATATGCCCAAATGTGAACACTGGTGGAGTTTGGGGAAAATAGAATCTTGACATTTGGAAGTTGTTGTTGCTGGGATTTATAGTTCACCTACAATCACAGAGCATTCTGAACCCCACCAACGATAGAATTGGGCCAAACCTCCTACACAGAACCCCCATGTGGGCCACAGTAACACGTGGCAGGGGATGGCTAATAATAATAATAATAATAATAATAATAATAATAATAATAATCTTTCTTTGTATTCCACCCTATCTCCCCGAGGGGACTCAGGGCAGATTCCAACAATAATGGCAAACATTCAATGCTATAGCGCCTTTATAAATACAAATACAAAATAATGAACCAACCAGATCCCAAAATAAATCAATATCTAAGAAAAAATTATGTTATACAACCAGAAATTTAATAATAACATAACCTGTCAATTAATTTACATCTAACATAAAAACATAAACATAAATTTATATAAACCACAATTAAAATTCATTTAATAGTTATTAAAATTACCGAAATTATTATGTGACCAAAAAAACCAAAAGAACCAACAGAGCCAAATACAATTTCCAGTCGGTGGTATATTAACTATATATAAACTTCTAATCCTCCTCCCCTCCATATGCAGGTGAGCAAAGATAGGTTTTTAATTGTTTATTAAAGGAGATACAGGAGGGGGCTGAATTTATTTCTCTATGGAGGGAGTTCCAGAGGTGGGGACGATCACAGAGAAGGCCTCCTCTCTCGTTCCCACCAGCCGTACTAGGACCGAGAGCAGGGTCTTCCCAAAAAGTGGAGATGGTCTTGGAAAAGTTCACCAGTATCACCGAGGCAGCTAACAGGTAGAAGTTGCAGAAGTTGGTATACAGCAGCAGAAAAATGATTAAAATATGATCCCAGTGTTCTGTTGCTTCTCTATCATGATGTGAAAATACAAGAAAACAAGAATTTAAAAATGGTAAATTATGGTAAACATATATTGTAATGAAAATTTTAAAAACCAGAATGAATAAAAGCAAATGGTATACTATACAAAAAGAAGGCTGTATTAAATCATACTATCGTGCCAACCAAATCTATATAAATAAAAATGTAATATTTGTTTGTGGGATTAACATAACGCAAAAACCACTGGACGAATTGACACCAAATTTGGACACAAAACTTCTATTAACCCAAGGAGTCACCATCACTAAAAAGATGATTTTGTCATTTGCTGGGATTTATAGTTCACCTACAATCAAAGAGCATTCTGAACTCCACCAATGATGGAATTGGGCCAAACTTAGCACACAGGACTCCCATGACCAACAGAAAAAACTGGAAAGGTTTGGTGGGCAGTGTCCTTTGGTTTTGGAGTTGTAGTTCACTTACATATAGAGAGCACTGTGGATTCAAACAAGGATGGATGTGGACCAAACTCTACACAAATACCCAGTATGCCCAAATGTGAACACTGGTGGAGTTTGGGGAAAATAGGCCTTGACATTTGGGAGTTGTATTGCTGGGATTTATAGTTCACCTACAATCAAAGAGCATTCTGAACCCCACGAATGACAGAATTGGAGAAACTTCCCACACAGGACCCCCATGACCAACAGAAAATACTTAAGGCCATCCAGTACAACTCCCTTCACCAGGCAAGAAAACATAATCAAAGCTCTCCTGACAAAGAACCATCCAGCCATAGATATAGATAGATATATACAATTCACACACACATAGAGATATAATATCATAGATTTGAAAGGGACCCCTAAAGAAGGGCAATTATATATCGTATGTTCCAGAGTAGGCAAACCAGACAATCTCCACATCAATACTGACAAAGAAACAAGAAATACTGTTTATCCACAAGCATAAAGAAATTACATATATTAGAAACCAACACTTTCTCATTACTTTATTTTCCAGATCACCAGACTGGGCTACAGCAACACGTGGCAGGAGATGGCTAGTAAGGTATATAGTAGAAAGTTTAGCAAAGCAAGGAAAGCTGGATTGGCTAGAAGAAGAGGATGAAAAATTAGAATGGAAACTAGAATATTTTTTCTAGATAATAAAGGAAGATCTAAAAAGAATTGGTCTGATGCAGGCATGGGTAAACTCCGGCCCTCCAGGTGCTTTGGACTTCAACTCCCACAATTGCTAACAGCCTCAGGCCCTTTCCTTTCTCCCCTTAGCTGCTTAATGTAAATTTCAACAGTTTTCCCCACCATCTTTCCAATTGCCCTAATTTAGTATTGTCCCCACAGGATTACACTTTGTAACAAAATTTGAAAAAAAAATCTATTCCTGTTTTGAAAGTGTTATTTCCTGTTTAATCGTACGGTACTTACTTTGAAAGTAGTTGTTATACTCCAGAAACTGTTTTAGTGGCTGCTGCAAGCTATGCTGAATTGCTTGAGACTCTATGAAACATTCATTGAAAAACTATAGCAAAATGTGCTGCAGGATGTCTCACAAAAACAACACTTTTGCAGTTTAATAAACCTTTTCCATGTTTCTATGATGGAACCAATTAGGAAATGACATTTATAACCCAGGAACAAAAATCATGTTACATAGTGTTATATAGTATTTGATTGTTTCTTCTTTGCTCTCCAAGAATGTATGCATTTTGGCAAAATTATGTAATTTCTGATCCATTTTATGTCCTTCTGTACCAATGAATATTAAATCCTTCTCCCTGTAATTCTTCACCAGGTTGATTTGCTAATATCAACAACATAGAGCTTCAGAGCACAAATAGTCTTCCTCAGAACAAGCATGTAAAATACATCAGGCTGAGGAAACCCAAGAACATCTAATGATGGCCCTTCCACACAGCCCTATATCCCAGAACATCAAGGCAGAAAATCCCACAATATCTACTTTGAACTGGGTTATCTGAATCTTCACTCAGATATTGTGGGATTTTTTGCCTTGATATTCTGGGATATAGGGCTGTGTGGAAGGGCCCTGAGTCTCAAGGTTCAGGAAGAACTTGCCACTTGAAGTTCCCAATAACCATTACTACATTACAAAGCTGGAGGAGATAGGAAATTATATGGACCTACCTCCCTTTCTTTACCAGAGACTTCCCAATGGAAAGTACGTGCATGCATTACCTCTCCACTCTTTGCTTAAGTAGATGTTCCTCAGCATTGTATCAAAGAGTTCTTATCCACTGAAACCAATACGTATCAAAAGATTCTTATCAGCAGGTGACAAGGTATCACTCCACCCAGCACTCTACATCCGCCAAGCAACTGAGTCTGGGTTTTTCCCTGGCTGACATATTTTCTTTCTCACCATCATGGCTGTTTGGTGTTCAATCATTCAGTGTTTCTTAATGCTTAATGAAGTTAAGCCACAGCAACAATAAGGCAGGACAAACCAGGGCCATGGAAAATATGTTCCAGATAATATCTATTCAGAAAAATTGGGCAAGGCCTTCCAGGAATGTCTTATGACTTCCATCAATGTACTAGCAGAGCTTGTTCACAGAGAGTCTTGGCTTACCTGCCGCTCAGGTGATGCAATCCAGCAGGTTTCTCTGAATGATCTGCCACCCTTGATAGTATTTGCAGGTAGCAAACCCCCTATGGATGCTGGAAACAATATTAAGATACTAAAAGATATCTTAAATCAACATGGGTTTCTCAAATACAATCTATGTTTCCTGCTGCTCTGGAGATTAGGACACAATGGAGCAATGGACTGAAATAGCAGAGAAGGAAAATGATTCCACCTAAGCATTAGGAAGAATGTCCTGGTGGTAGCAGAATGTGCTGTCTGGGAGCATAGTGGGGTCTCCTTCTCTGGAAGTGTGTGAGTAGAGGCTGGCCCTCTGTCAGGAGTGCTTTGATTGTGTGTTCCTTCATGGCAGGGGGCTGGACTGTATGGCCCTTGTTCTCTCTTCCAGATCCCTGATTCTGGGATGTTATGACTTGGGGATATCAGTGGTTCTTGTCTTCAAGAGCACCTGATGAACCATCCTGGACACAGCATATTATTTGAGAACATAGAAATGCTGGACAACTCTAAGAAGCACCATGTCAAACTATACAGAGAAGCCACTGAAATCCACACAAGCATGTGGACAATTTCAACAGAAAGGAGGAAATCATGAAAATGAACAAAATCTGGCTACCAGTATTAAAAAACACTAAAATCAGGACAGTAAATAAAGAGCAACACTCAAAAAGCAGGGAAAATCCATACAAGAATCAATCAGGGCCAGCTAATACCTCCCAAACAAGGATCCCACTGACTGGAAGCAGCCAGGCTTTGAACCTGCAAGGCCATTCAATGCTAATCAAGGTGGCCAATTGCAACATTCACACCTGCCTCAAGCAAACAAGAGTTGTTTCTCCCACCCTGGACATTCCACAGATATATAAGCCTCACTTGCCTAGTTTCCAACAGACCCCTCAACCTCTGAGGATGCCTGCCACAGATATGGGCAAAATGTCAGGAGAGAATGCTTCTGGAACATGGCCATATAGCCTGGAAAACTCACAGCAACCCAGCTCTTGTCTTTTTTAGAGGAACAAAGAAGTGGAAGGATAGCATCCATGATTTTTTCCCACTACACTCCTGTTGTTTGGCCTTTACTTCATATGGTTTTCAAGCATTTCTGCAACTTTTCAAATACTTCCAATTTTTATAGAGAATAAAAAAGTTTCATTTCAGCCATACATATCCAATATTTTATTTAGATACCGGGTGGGACAATACAGGGCTCTTCACCTGGATTCCTAACCTCAAGAGTCCTTAGCACAATTCATCCCAATAGAACTGTTATTGAGTAGTTGTTTGAATCGTGTATACCTAAATACAAGAATTCCCTAAATGCTAAGTTCTAATGACATAATGTATATTTACATTTATTTATTTATTTATTTAATCCTGCTTTTTTCCATGGCTGGGTCTCAAAGCGACATACATGGCTAAAAACAGCAAAATAACAGCATAAAAATTTGACAAAAACATTCATAAACCACAGGAAACAAATAACACACAATACATATCAAAAATTAAACAGATTAATAAATTACAATAAACATCATTAACAAAAATTCCCAAACCTCAGGCCACTGGGATTCTTCGTGAAACAATTGTATTGAGCTCTTAGATAGCTCAAATCCTTTCGGCTAGATGGAAATATTGCCAGATCTCACGTAACCACTGAGAAAGTACATTGTCAGAGCTGTCTGACCGCTGCCTATTCAAGGTTATCAGGAAAGGCCTGATCCCATGAAAAGGTTTTAATTTGTGACCGAAAGGCCAGTAAGGAGGGGGCCAATCACACCCCTCTAGGAAAGGAGCTGGAGAGCCGCAGGGCCACCACCGGGAAGGCCCTCTCTCTCATTCCCACCAAGCGTACCTGTGATGGTGATGGGACCGACGATCTCAGGGCTCGTGCAGGTTTGTAGGAGGAGATGTGGTCTCTCAGGTAGGCTGCACCCAAACTGTTTAGAGGTTTATAAGCTAAAGCCAGCACCTTGAATTGCACCTGGAAACAACCTGAGCACCATGGTAACTGCTTAAGGAGCAGAGTAGTTCTTTCCTTGTATCCTGGCCCTTTCAGCAGTCTGGCTACTGACCTTTGGATCAGCTGAAGTTTCCTGACACTCTTCTGGGGCAGCCCACATAGAGCACGTTACAGTAATCTAACTTGGATGTGACTAAGGCATGTACTACGAGAGGCGTTCATTAAAGATTTCCCCTGACCCACTTCTATTTATCACAGGATGCTGAAAATGCACATGTGTAATGATATAAGTCTCTATTATTATTATTATTATTATTATTATTATTATTATTATTACTATTATTATTATTATTATTATTATTATTAAACTTTATTTGTACCCCGCTAGCATCTCCCGAAGGACTCGATGCGGCTTACAAAGGCCAAGGCCTCAACACAACAACAACAGACAATAACAATATAATACAAGCAAATTAAAAACATAAGCAATAACAACAACAAAACATTACACTATTACACAATAAAACCAGGGCCAGGCCAATGAAGGATACAGGTTAAAAAGTGCTGGGTGTAAGAGGTGATATGTTGGTATTCTGGGCAAGTGCAATGTGCAGAGAGTCTTAAGCTCTAGTAAAGTGCTTCTGGGACATAGTGCTGGAGGTTATCCTATTCCGGAAAGGCACATCGGAATAGCCAGGTCTTCAAGTTCTTCCTAAAGACTGCCAGCGTGGGTGCTAGTCTAATGTCTTTGGGGAGGGTGTTCCAAAGTCTATAGGTTGTGTGCCAATTTACAACTCAGAACTGATAACAATCTTGATTTTATAGGTGCTGAAGTGGTATGAGGTTTGATAATGGACCCAGTGGAATACAGAGCAGTCCTCAAGTTCCTTTACTCGAAAGGCCACACGCTAGAGGAGACATTCGATGAGTTGAAAAAGGTTTATGGTGATGATTCCCCATTATATGATGTAGTCAAGAACTGGCATCATCAACTGAAATGTGGTCGGACTTCAGTGCAAACAGCTCCAATTCCAGGGTGACCCCATCTTGTTCCAGCAAGTGGAGGTCGTCATTTTGGAAAATCGTCATGTAACCATTCTCCACCTAGGCCAAAATGTCAAGATTAGTGTGGGGTTCGTGGAAAAAATCATCCAAGACCATCTTCACATACATAAGGTATCCCCTCACTGTGTCCCCCAGCTGGTCACACCATTCCAGAAGCAGGAACGAGTTGAATGCTCTCAGGCTGTATTCACAATGTGCCTTGGAAACCAGGAAGACTTTTTCGACAGACTGATCACACAGGATGAAAGCTGGGTCCGTCACTATGATCCTGAGACTAAAATCCAGTTGATGCAATGGAAGCATCCTGACTCACCGCCTCCAAAGAAGGTACATGCCCAGTTCTCAGCAGGCAAGATCATGCTCACAGTATTTTGGGACCAGCACAGAGTAGTACTGATGAATTTCCTAGCAAAGGGTACCATGATCATTGGGACATACTATGCTTCCTCTGTTGTGGAAATTGCGGGAGGCCATCAAAACCAAAAGACATGGCATGGTCACCAAAGGTGTCTGCCTTCTGCAAGACAATGCAACAGTTCACAACTCACATGTTGCCCAAATGGAAGCATGCTCCTCTGGCTTACAAATTCTACTGCATTCCCCTTATTTACCCGACATCACACCATCAGACTTTCAACAATGAAGTAATTTTTCAACAATGAAGTAATTTTTGAAAGGCAAGCATTTTTCAGATGATGAGACTCTGAATTCTGAAGTTACAACATGACTTTTGCAGCAACCTGTCAGCTTCTGCAAGCGAGGTGTTTACAGTTGCTGAAAAAGATGGGAGAAGTGTGTGTCCATAGGTGGCACCTATACTTACTTACTTACTACTTACTTAGGTGATCCTCATTGCCCGAGTAAGATTGTCTTCCAAGTGTGTGTCCTGGCAGTGGGTACATAGGTGACTGTGGAGCCATATTCTTGACCTGCATGTTCTCCCTCAGTGAGGACATCAGTTTCTAGGCAAAAGGCGGTCCCCATCGGGGTTGGCTTGACATGCCTTCCTCTTGGCGCGTTTCTCTCTTTTGCCCTCCACTCATGCCTCTTCAATTTCTACAGCACTGCTGGTCACAGCTGACCTCCAGCTAGAGTTCTCAAGGGCCAGGCCTTCCCAGTTCTCGGTGTCTATGCCACAGTTTTTAAGGTTGGCTTTGAGCCCATCTTTATATCTCTTTTCCTGTCCTCCAACAGGCACCTATAAAGAGGAGGACTAATAACTACATCAAGTTTCATTGCTCTCAGTTCACAGGAAGAGGGTCAGGGGAAGTATTTAATGAATGCCCCCTTGTACCATAGCCAGATTGGGCTTTTCAAGGTATGGGCGCAAAATTCAAAATACACCCAAAATTCAGAGGAAATCAGCTTTGTGGACAGAATCATCTGGGAAATAATGACAGAACTCACCTAATATACGTAAGAAAAAGCTGCACCTTCCCTCCCAGATAATTTGAAAACTTATATTCAGCACTACCTGTCCATATAAAGGCTAGGAAATAGAATTAGTACCAATGTCACCAATGTCAGGATAATGGGAGTTGCTGCACAACCCATTTGGAGAGCACCAGGCAAAGGAATGCTAACACCGCTGCCTCCATGATGCTAATCAAGAGGAGAACCAAGTTACATTGAAAAATAGCTGCCATGGAGCTGAAGCTGTTTTCCTAACTCTTCCACACTTTCCTTGCAGCTTATTTTACCCCAAGCCTGTTCCACTGTTATTGAGTAGTTCTCCTCCATCCCATATTTCCTTTGCCTCAAAATCCGCCTCCTTCCCCATCATGGCACCGACACACTGCCTTTTCCCTTTCAACTCCAACCATCAGGCTAAGTTTATCTTCCTCCTGAACAGCTGGGATGCCATCTCCCATTACATAGGCATTCCACCCTGGGAACAATGGAAGGCGGAGAAGAGCGTCACTCACTTAGCTGTTTCTATTCTCTGCTTGGCTGACAATGCTGCCCAGTTCTTCTCATACTTGTGAGGGCCTCCAAATATAAATCTCTGTGTAATAGTATGGTGCTATGTGCAAAGACATTTGTACTACAGGGACATTAGCTGCACCTACGTCCATAATCAAAGACACAATAATCGGGACTGGGTGCCATATTGGAAGGGTGCCTATCGTCCCACATTAGTGCTAGTCCCAAATCTCATACTGTCCAGTTGTGCTGATTTGAGAGGGAAAGTTCCCATTAAGCTTCTATTGTTCCACTTCTCCTGCTGCTTCTAAAAAGTCCCAGGGTGCATTTACACTGTAGAATAAATGCAGTTTGATATTACTTTAACTACCATGGCTCAGTGCTATGGGATCATGGCAGTTGTAGTTTGGATTTCAATTTCTGCAGAGATGCTGAAAGCAAGTACATGAGTGAACTATATCCCAGAATGTGGACTCAGATAACCCAGTTCAAAGCAGATATTGTGGGATTTTCTGCCTTGATATTCTGGGATGTAGGGCTATGTGGAAGGGTCCTCAGGTATTGGAACTGGAAGAGACCGCAAGGGCCCTTCAACTGTTCTGGACAATCCTGCTTAATCCTTTGCTGTCCCATTTTCTCCCTCTTCCTTCCACTTTTGTCCTTAGTGTCCTCCAATTGCTGCAAATTGAGGCCTCTTATATGCTGCTATATAATACAGACTATCGACGTAGATAACCCACATTATCTGGTTGGACTGGGTTATATGAACCTGCACCTCCCTATAATCCAGTTCAAAGCAGATAATTGGATTTTATATGGCAGTGTAGAAGGGGCCTTAGTCCCCTTCCACACTGCTCCTATATTCCAGGATCTGATCCCAGATTAATTATCTATTTATCCCAGGTTATCTGGCAGTGGGGACTCATATAATTTAGTTTAAAGTAGATAATCTGGGATCAGATCCTGGGATATAGGGCAGTGTGGAAGGGGCCCTAGTTGAAATTAACTCAGCAAACGGGAGAGAAGAAAAAGCATGGGATCATTTCTTTCCTAATAGGCTCCGGCAAAAGGAAACTGCTACAGCCTTTCCTAACTTTTGTGCTCTTCCATATTGATAATTTCTGCCATGTTAACCACATTCTGATGTTGCTTGACCAGTTTCCAACTGTGAAATGCCAGAGGGTATGTCCTTTTGGCTAGCCAAAGTGATGTCATGGTTTGAGTGACCATCATCCAAATCCCCAGCTTGGCCATGAAAAGCCACTCTTAGCCTCAGAAAACCCTGTGACAGGTTTGCCTTAGGGTTACCTTAAGTCAGAAGCTACTTGAAGGCATACTACATTGAGGCAGTCTTCAATGGGGCTGGTAACAGATATGGCAGAGCTTCTGATGGTGCAATGGGTTAAACCCTGGTGTCAGCAAGCCTGAAAACTGACAGGTCAGAGGTTCGAATCTGGGGAGAACACAGGTGAGCTCCCTCTGACAGCTCCAGCTCCCCATGCAGGGACATGAGAGAAGCTTCCCACAAGGATGGTAAAACATCAAACATCTGGGCGTCACCTGGACAACATCCTTGTAGACGGCCAATTCTGTCACACCAGAACCGACTTGCAGTTTCTCGAGCCGCTCCTGACATGAAGAAAAAACCAAAAACAGATAGGGCTCTGTATATTGCCATTTCCCCCTCAATATGTGTTGGGCTCCAAATCTGATGATCAATGACACATGTTGACAGGAGCCCCGGCCCCTTTTGCAACTTTGGCCCCATCTACACTGTCATATAAAATCCGGATTATTGTCTTTGAATTGGATTATATGGCAGTGTTGACTCAGGGCCCTTCCACACAGCCCTATATCCCAGAATATCAAGGCAGAAAATCCCACAATATTTGCTTTGAACTAGGTTATCTGAGTCCACACTGCCATATATTCCAGTTCAAAGCAGATAATGTGGGATTTTATGCAGCTATGTGGAAGGGGCCTCAGACCTCTTCTATGTTGCCATCAAATCCAGTTCAAAGCAGATAATCTGGATTTTATTGGTAGTAAAGAAGGGACCTCATATAATCCAGTGGATTATCTGCTTTGATAATTTGGATTATATAGCAGTGTAGAAGGACCATAGATCAAAGTGAGTCTGATCTTGTGTCCTGATCTACAAGTATAAAAGTTAACTTACCTCATTTTTACATGCAAGAATAAATAATTTCAAAATATTACTTCCTGCAGAGTTAATTGCCTGTTCACTGCTGTTCCAGCCAGGGGATTCAATACACTGTTTTGTGATTATTTGTTCTTCAAGACTGTGATAGGTTGGTCAATAGTCAATTATGCATTTTGTTTTTAGCAATTGCTGGGAAAATGTACTTTATCTTTAGTCACAAACTTTAGTCATAAATGAATCCTTAAATGAAGTGAAATATTTTACCCACTTGATAATATAATCACTTTGGACATATTGCTCAGTGTCCTGGCAAGCCATTATGAATGGGTGTCTAACAGTTCAGTATTGATGTGTATGGTCATGGCACTATTGCCAAATCACAAATGCTGGCACCTCTATCAAGAAATAGAAGTATGTTCTGTTGGTGATGGGGGACCTCCAAAATGATGTTTCCAGACCCTGTGAACAGTATGTTATGGTATTACTACAAGATGTGATAGGTGCCCTGCTGTTGATTATCACACCACAGCTTTCTGGCACAAGGGATGCCAAAACAACATCACACTGAAGAGCCCTGATTGACAACAGAATAGATCTCCATTGCTCAATGTGGCTGTTAAGGTGGTTTTGTAGAGTCAAGTCAAGGGACAGTATGGTTCCACATTTGTAGTTATGTCTGGCTATCATATTTTGAACTAATTGAAATCCAGTCTTGAGCTCACCAGTGTGTGCACTACCATCTTTAGGTCCTCCAACTATAGGAAGGAGTGCAACTGTTGTATCCCAGAGCAGGAACACCTCTGTCCTTAAACGCCACGCCAGTATAGTAAAATCGGCAAGCGGTTTATTGAAGGATATATGCAAGCAAAGCAATAAAAATGATAGAAGCAATATAATCCAAAACAGTATTTCACAAGGATACAAATAGTCTATGAGCTTCAAGGTACAAAGGTAAAAACACAAGATCCGAAGATGCAGAGTCCAAAATAATAAAACATCATGGAGATCCAATACCCAGAACAGGAACCTGGCAAAACTTGAAACATGAAACTAGAAATCCACTTGGAAACAAGACTGTCATGAAAATCCAACATTGACGAGAGTGAGCTAAAATCCATTCCTCGTCTCATTTAAAGCTTTTCCTGTCTCATGAAAGGAAAGCATTCCATTTGCCTTTACAACCAGATAAGGATTTCTTATCTCTCTTTTCTAGCAGATGGGCTGACCTTCGGTGATCTTGAGAACTTTGTCTTAGTTTACAAACTCTTATCTTCTATCTCCAATCTTGTTAAATTCTGCACCTGACAAATCATCCTCAGATGACAGTTTCTCAGAGAAAGACTGCTGTGGGCCCCTTTCGGGAATTTGACCTTGGGAATCTACAGGAGAAGCACTCCATTCAAGGGGAAACCTTGGGCTTCTCAGTAAGGCCTGAACTTAACCAGGCCCAGGAAAACCCTCAGCTCCATTGACATCAGACACAATCACAGACTGAACCACAACAGTAACTGACATATGTGTTCAATGGGTATGTATTCAACAAAAAGCGTATCATTTGGCAGCATAATTGTCTTTAGGACAGGGGTGAGCCACTGTATGGGGTCAGGTTTCCAGTTTTACCCCAATCATTCAAGTGTGTCACACATACCTGTCAAAGCATGCAGAAATGTCTTCTTTTTCCTCTGCTTTCTCTCCAAAATGGCAACCAGGGAACTGACATCCTGTTACTTCTGATTGCCATTTTGGAGGGCAAATAGAGGAAAGCAGAAGGAATTGCAGGAAAGCAGAAGGTATTTCAGGAGTCCTGGGAGGTGAGAGGTAGTTTCATGGTTTTGTGGAGAAAAATGCATTTGGATACAATTGCCACCTTTTCCGCCCCTTCCAAAAATATTAAGAAAAACATAAAAATTAGGTTTTGGGAGACTGGTGAAGGGCTTTGAGTGTTACAAAAGAAAAGGTCCAAGTGGGCTGTTCTTTCCTCCACTTCTGTTCTAGGATGATACATCCCACATTGCTTCCCTTTCTCCTCCACACACACATACAGTCCTTTTTAAGGCACTTCTGAAAAGGTTGCCAAAAGAAGAGAGGAAAGTCACTGGCAGCTGGTTTCAACAAGAGAGAAGACCCCTTCTTTTGCTTCTTCGGTTGGTTCATGATTGTGAACACATTCCTCCAGGAATGCAATGCTGAACTGACACTGCCACCGCTTTCCTCTCGCATTGGCCAAATGTGAAGGGTGGCTGAGAGAAGAGGAGGGGTATCCAGTTACCTTGCTATAAGGTCTCGCATTATCCTGTCCACCCTCTGCTCTTGCCGCAGCCAGCCCTTGCTCAGGGAACAAGAGATATCTGAATTTCCCACCTTCAGGTGAGGCCAACATCTACATGGATTGGAGTTGGTAATGAGGTTTGAGGGGAGGGGGCAGGGGGAGCATTAATGCTTGATTTTCATAGCCTACATACAGAAATGAGCAGATTTAGAAGGCAGAGATGCTGAAGTGTTTGATACTCATATGTGCACTGCTATGGCACTTTGATACCACTTAAACTGCATCCTAGGGAATCCTGGGGATTTTCAGTTTCATTAGATGTGTAGAACTTTCTAGTTTAGAATGGTTTTGACTGGATGGCCCTTTTGGTCTCTTCCAATTTCTATTATTTTTCTAGTGCAGGGATGGTTATCTAGTGCAGCCCAGAAGAAGTTGCTGGAGTGCAACTCCCAATATTCTCACTCTGGACGATGTTGACTAGAGCTTGTTGCCATTGCAATCCAACATCATGTGGAGCTCTAAATTTACAATTCCCTGGGTTTAAAAATTCCAGGATGCCAGAGGATATAGCCATGGCAATTAAAGTAGTATTGAAGTGTTATAATTACATATGCTTTTTTGTGTGTGTCAGGAGCGACTTGAGAAACAGCAAGTCGCTTCTGGTGTGAGAGAACTGGCTGTCTGCAAGGACGTTGCCCAGGGGACACCCGGATATTTTGATGTTTACCATCCTTGAGGGAGGCTTTTCTCATGTCCCTGCATGGGGAGCTGGAACTGACAGAGGGAGCTCATCCACACTCTCCCCGAATTCGAATCTCCAACCTGTTGATCTTCAGTCCTTCCAGCACAAGTGTTTAACCCATTGTGCCACTGGGACAATGGGTTAAACCCTTGTGCTTTTAGCATAGTTATGTATGCTGAAAGGACAAAAGCAAACTGTGGTAGTGTCTCTTAACTTGCGAGTTATTTCTCCCTAATAACTTTTGCCATTTTGACCACGTTGATGTTGCTTGGGCAAACATGTCCTAGTTCTCATCTATGAAATACTGGAGGTTATGATTGAGGTCTTCAGTCCTGCCGGCACAAGGGTTTAACTCATTGCACCACCGGGAACTCCTACTTTAGGATTGAACTATAGGTTTGCATATATCTTATGAGTGCCATTTGGCCATTTGAAAGAATTGGGCTAGATGACCCCATTCTAGATAGAATCTTTCCCAAGAAGCTCAGGCACAAATAAAAACCATTTAGTCTTAAACATGCTGTTACGTTTTTAGAGCACAGATATAATTTCGAAGAATTCCCGCTCAGCATCCGGGAAGTTAATTGCATCCTTGTTTGGCTAAGGAACCTGAACTTTTTTTATAATTTGCTGAACTATACTCCTGACTTCACACTTCTGGCTGCATGCTGATATGCTATTATTTCTCTTGCCAACTTCCCTGTGAGTTAAACGTATCAAACATAAAGTGTGATATCTTCTTTGTATGCTCTGATTTGCTAGGAGAGATTAAAGAAGACATCACACTTTGTGTTGGACTCACAGGGAAGTTGGCAAGAGAAATAACATCATATCAGCATGCAGTCGGTAGTGTGCAGTCAGGAGCATAGTTAAACAAATTATAAAAGAGTTCAGGTTCCTTAGCTAAACAAGGATGCAATTAACTTCCCGGATGCTGAGAGGGAATTCTTCAAAATCATATCAGTGATTCTAAAAATGTAACATCACCTTTAAGACTAAATGTGTTTCTTTGTGCATGAGCTTTCTGAATAGGAACCCACTTCTTCAGATGAATACAAATGTGATGTGACTGGGTTGCTGTGAGAAGCATTCTCTCCTGACGTTTTTCCCACATCTTTGGCAGGCATCCACAGAGGTTGAGGAGTCTGTTGGAAACAAGGCAAGTGGGGTTTATATATCTGTGGAATGTCCAGGGTGGGAGAAAGAACTCTTGTCTGCCTGAGGCAAGTATCATATATAAACCCCACTTGCCTAGTTTCCAACAGACCTCACAACCTCTGAGGATGCATAGATATGGGCAAAACGTCAGGAGAGAATGCTTCTGGAACATGGCCATACAGCCCAGAAAACTCACAGCAACCCAGTGATTCCAGCCATGAAAGCCTTTTGGGAGGTGTTAGCTGGTCCTAGAATTCTTTCTACCATCCTGGATATTCCACAGATATATAAACCCCACTTGCCTAGTTTCCAACAGACCTCACAACCTCTGAGGATGCCTGCCATAGATGTGAGAAAAACATCAGGAGAGAATGCTTCTGGAACATGGCCATACGGCCCAGAAAACTCCTAGCAACCCTGTGATTCCAGCCATGAAAACCTTTTGGGAGGTGTTAGTTGACCCTAGAGTTCTTTCTCCCACCCTGGACATTCCACAGATATATAAACCCCACTTGCCTAGTTTCCAACAGACCTCACAACCTCTGAGGATGCCTGCCATAGATATGTGCAGAACGTCAGGAAAGAATGCTCCTGGAACATGGCCATACAGCCCAGAAAACTCACAGCAACCCAGTGATTCCAGCCATGAAAGCCTTTTGGGAGGTGTTAGCTGGTCCTAGAATTCTTTCTACCATCCTGGATATTCCACAGATATATAAACCCCACTTGCCTAGTTTCCAACAGACCTCACAACCTCTGAGGATGCCTGCCATAGATGTGAGAAAAACATCAGGAGAGAATGCTTCTGGAACATGGCCATACGGCCCAGAAAACTCCTAGCAACCCTGTGATTCCAGCCATGAAAACCTTTTGGGAGGTGTTAGTTGACCCTAGAGTTCTTTCTCCCACCCTGGACATTCCACAGATATATAAACCCCACTTGCCTAGTTTCCAACAGACCTCACAACCTCTGAGGATGCCTGCCATAGATATGTGCAGAACGTCAGGAAAGAATGCTCCTGGAACATGGCCATACAGCCCAGAAAACTCACAGCAACCCAGTGATTCCAGCCATGAAAGCCTTTTGGGAGGTGTTAGCTGGCCCTAGAGTTCTTTCTACCACTCTGGATATTCCACAGATATATAAACTCCACTTGCCTAGTTTCCAACAGATCTCACAACCTCTGAGGATGCCTGCCATAGATGTGAGAAAAACATCAGGAAAGAATGCTTCTGGAACTTGGCTATACGGCCCAGAAAACTCCTAGCAACCTTGTGATTTCGGCCCTGAAAGCCTTTTGGGAGGTGTTAGTTGGCCCTAGAGTTCTTTCTCCCACCCTGGACATTCCACAGATATCTAAACCCCACTTGCCTAGTTTCCAACAGACCTCACAATTGTTTATTTATTTATTTATGGCTTTTATATCCCGTCCTATCTCAACTTCCGCAGAGGGACTCAGGATGGCTAACAAATTGGCACCTCATGGCGCCACAACAAAACATAAATATATAATTTAACAGCAGTATCATAATAGCAATATAAAACAATATAAAACAGTATAAAAACAATCAAGCAGTCAGCAGTCACCGGTTTAAATCATCATCCAAGGGGCAGTCAATCAGTTCTGTATATGCAGGTCAGCCTAATCTACAAAAGCCTAATCTACAAAGGCCTGATCCCATAGCCAGGATTTTACTTGTTTCTGGAAGGTCAAGAGGGATGCAGCGGATCTAATTTCACTTGGGAGGGAGTTCCACAGCCGGGGGGCCACCACAGAAAAGGCCCTGTCCTTTGTTCGCACTAGACAATGGGGGAACAATGAGCAGGGCCTCCCCAGATGATCTTAGGGCCCTAGGTGGATCGTAGCGGGATCCTGCCATAGATATGGCTGAAACGTCAGGAGAGAATGCTTCTGGAACTTTGCCATAAAGTCCAAAAAAACCTCATAGCAACCCCTCTCTCTCTTTGGACCCATATTGACTGATTAAAAGACCATAAAATATCAGAATTTGTTACTATTCTTTCCAATCTTGTTTTGTAGACTCATGCATCATTTGTTTATCCCAGAACATTTTCTATCAGATCCTGGTATAATTAGACATTTTTTATACCAGCTCCCCAGATCAGAATACTTTCACCCAATCAGAAAGAATAGGTGCAAAATTTGGGACATTTCAGTCTCTAGACACTCAGCATCTCCATAAACCCTCCTGTAGTTAAATAAATCTGTTTTGCGTGGCAAGGAATCCCATTGGAGGAGACTGGAGGGTAGCAGAGAGGGAGTTGATGGGTCCGGGGTTGGCATGGCATAAAGATGCCACCCTAGATGGGTCAAAGTTATTTAAAGAAATGGTACAGAGGGAGCGGATTCAAATGGGGCCCTGAGAATCAATATCTGTGACCTTTAAGGACAGCTGCTGCTGCTCAGAATGAGAATACAAAACATTCACTCTTCCATCAAACAAAGCTTTGAAGGACATGGGAAGGACAGAAAAGCAATGCCCCCAAAGGCTCCTGTATAGGAGTCCAGAGGCTGTAAATTTCTCTCAAAAGGCAACAAATTGGGACGGAGGGAAACTGTGTGCCAGGTTTTTCAGGATATGGCCACTCTATAGGGTCTAGCACCTTGGACAGGTACTTTTCAACATTGATTCAAATCCAGAGCAGATTTACCAGTCTACTAAGCTGGAGTCTGTTCACATTGCACAATTGGGGCACTATTATTCCCCTTTAACTGCCGTAGTTCCATCCTATGGAATCCTAGAAGTTGCAGTTTGGACAGGGACATTTAGAACACTTAACTAGAACTTCGCCAAACTACAAATCCCAGAATCCCATAAGATGGGACCGTAGTTGTTCAATGGAATAATACCACTATAATTTTGTAGTGTGACTAAGTGGTGTTATGCCACAATGATCACAAATGATTTACATAACTTTGAACTTGGTAACAAAGATACCAGGAATTCTGTGTCCAATTCTGGGCACCTCAATTTAAGGCAGATGTTGACAAGCTGAAATGTGTCCAGAGGAAAGTGAATAAAATGATCAAGGCTCTGGAGAACAAGCCCTATAAGGAGCGGCTTAAAGAGCTGGGCATGTTTAGCCTGAAGAAGAGAGGGCTGAGAGGCAACATGATGAGGGCCATGTATAAATACATGAGGGGGAGTCATAGGGAGAAGGGAGCAAGCTTGTTT